ACGACGCTTCCGTTAATGCATCCTAAGATTGCATTCACTTTCTTCACAGCCACATCGCACTGCAGGCTCATGTTTAGCTTGTGATCGACCAGAACACCCAGATCCCTTTCACAGGTGCTGCTGTCAAGCCAAGTCCCTCCCATCCTATATCTGTGCCTTTGGGTTTTTGTACCTAAGGGTGGGACTTTGCACTTATCTCTACTGAAACTCATTTTATTGGTCTCAGCCCGACAGTTCCAGCCTACCTAGATCATTTTGAATCCTGACTCTGTCTCTGTCTAGCTTCCTGACCTTCCAGAGAGAAGAGGGAAAAAACTAGGGAAACTGTAAAAACTCAGAGTGGGGGGGGGGTGTCTCCACAGTCTGTATGGAGGGATTGAGTTCAGTGCAGGTTCAGGAGCAGCTCTGAAGGACAGCCGAGCCAAAGATGCTTGTGGCATGCAGGCACTAACTGACTGGCTGAAGGTTTTCAAAGCAGTGCTAAATCCCTCTGACTATTCCTACTGATGGCGGAACACAAAGAAACTGTCAGAAGTAGAATTCAGCTATGATGAAAGCTCAACATACCCCGAGAAGATGTTGCCCACAAAAGGCAAAGATTCCACAAAACCCTTAGCTGAAAATGTTTTACAGAATTAGGAGAATCTAGAAAAAATGTGATCTTTGTGCCATAGAGCTTGGGCTATTCTTCTGCGGATCTCTCTGGTCCTCACCCCATAAATGATGGGGTTGAACACTGGGGGAAGAATCACGTAGAGATTGGCGATGAGGATGTGGGCGTAGTGGGGGATGTTCCGCCCAAAGCGGTGGGTGAGGAAGGAGAAGAACGCTGGGGTGTAGAACACAAAAATCACGGCCACGTGGGAGCCGCAGGTGCCCAGCGACTTCAGCCGGGCCTCCTTGGAGGGAAGCCGGAAAACCGCACGGAGGATTTGCACATAGGACAAAAGAACCAGGACCACGTCCAGCATGAGGAAGGAGATGGTAAACAAGCTGTAGATCATATTCACCCTGATGTCGGCACAGGCCAGCTTGGCGATGCCCATGTGCTCGCAGTAAGTGTGGGCAATACTGATCCGAGGACTACAGAAAGGCAAGCGCTGTGTCAGCATCGCAATGGGAAACACGAGGATAAAAGTTCTCAGCACCACTACAGAGCACAGCCAGGCGACGCGGCTCTTGGTCAAGAGGGTGGCGTATCTCAAGGGGTGGCAGATGGCCACGTACCTGTCAAAGGCCATGCAGGTCAGGACGACCGACTCCATGCCCGTGAAGGTGTGGATGAAGAACATCTGGGCCAGGCAGGCCCCAAAGCTGATCTCCCCGCGGCCGAACCAGAAGATGGCCAGCATCTTGGGCAGGGTGGAGGTGGAGAGGCCCAGGTCGATGGCCGAGAGCACCGAGAGGAAGTAGAACATGGGCTGGTGGAGGCTGGCCTCCGTCTTCACGACGAAGAGGATGGCGGAGTTCCCCAGGAGGGCGACCAGGTACCCCGTGCAGAAGGGGATGGAGAGCCAGGCATGGGCGGACTGCAGCCCAGGCACTCCCAGCAGGACGAATGTGGGGGAATAGGAGTGGGTGCTGTTCAACGGTGGAAATCTCCTGTATCTCCAAAAGAAAAGAAGAGTGTGCAGCAGGACCGGTCTAGCGGCAATGAAGAAAAGACAACGGATTCATTTTGGAAACATTTTGCCCCATGTTTCAAATTATAGTCCTTCCTCAGGCACAACGTAATTGGTAGTGGAGGCCTCATCCCAGCACATAGCCATGTAGACACGATCAACCTGCCCATTCCATTGAGAAATTGGATTACTGCACCTATTGAAAGAAAGAGGGGCTGCACATTCCATGACAATACCATATAAAGTATGGGATGAGATCTCCACCCAGTTATGCATTGCTACTTAAAAAAAACCCTCCCTCCCTCCCTCCCTCCCTCCCTCTTGCTTAGGTTTGCCAGCCTCCAGGTGAGGCCTGGCACTCTCCTGGAATTAGCATTGATCTCCAGATGACAGAGATCCATTCCTCTGGAGAAAATGGCTGCTTTGGAGGGTGGACTCTGTGGCATTTGGATGGTGGACTCAATGGCCCTCCCAGGTTCCATCTCCCAGATCTCCCAAAAATTCCCACCTCGGAGCTGGCGACCTTACAATCCCCCCTACCTATACCCTGATACTTTGTCTTGTAAACACCCCATGTGGAAGCCTAAACAGGGATGTGGACTGGAAAATGGCACTGGGGTCAAGTTGCTCCCTTGACTTTCTGGAAAGAAAATGCAGAACATGGAAAGTAATTGATCGAATGGCTCTCTAGCCCCTAATGGAATACAGGAGGCCCCTCAACAGGCTGAGAGAAAACATGGCAGTGGTTGTATTCACAATGCTGAAGATACATTGGAGCTGCTATACAAGGCCTGTGGAACCTTCCTTCCTTCCTTCCTTCCTTCCTTCCTTCCTTCCTTCCTTCCTTCCTTCTCACAACACAAGAACTCCTGGGCATGAAATTGCTGAGCATTCGGGTTAGAACGGATAAAAGGGAGTCCTTCTTCACCCAAAGAGTGATTAACACATGGAATTCACTGCCACAGGAGGTGGTGGCGGCTACAAGCATGGACCGCTTCAAGAGGGAATTGTGTCAACATCTGGAGCAGAGGTCCAACAGTGGCTATTAGCCACAAGGTCTTGATAGGGACTCTGGGGCAAGTGATGCTCTGTATTCTGGGTGCTTGGGGTGGTGGTGGGCAACAGTGGGAGGGCTTCTGGAGTTCTGGCCCCCCTGCTGGACCTCCTGATGGCCCCTGGTATTTTTGGCCACTGTGTGACACAGAGTGTTGGACTAGATGGGCCATTTGGCCTGACCCAACATGGCTTCTCTTATCTCCCTCCCTCCCTCTCCAACTCAGGATCTGTCTTCCTCGGGGTCCTGCCACCCCACTCAGTCTTCTGGAGCCAAGAAAACCCAGAGCACCAGGGAGCCCCGGACCCCTGAAAGGAAACAGGCCAGCGAGCAGGGGCAGGCAAGGAAGAGGCTCAGCTGGTGGAGAGGGAGCCCTGAACCCGGGGAGGAGAGGCAGCGGAAGGCAGAGGGGGGGGGGCAGCTCCTGGAGGGAGATTTGGGCCAGTGGGCCCCCCAGTGGGAACACACGGAGCAGTTTTGGCATGAAACCCTCAGGACTATGGCTGTGGTGGCTGTTTCCGCAGTGTCGCACTGGTCTCTTCCAGGAGGGTTCCTCACTCGATTTAGGTGCTCGCATCTTGCCTCTCCTGCCCCTTCCTTACAGGCGACACCTCTCTGACTCCCTGTTGTATCAGCTTATGTTGCACCAGATGTTATGTTGCTCCTGCTTTGCCTCTCTGACAACATTGGGGGGTCACCCCCACCCACGCCGCAGCTGCCCCCCCCCGCAATGCCCAATCTCCCCGCCCCCAGTCCGGCCAGCTCACCTGGCGAGAGTCCTGGTTGCCTGGTCCTCCTCCGAGCCAAAAGGGGTGCCCGGGTGTGGGGCTGAAGGCTGCTGCATCCTAGCCGGGGGTGGGTGGGTGGAGAGGCTGCCCGCTGGAGCCGCAGGGGTCATTTATGGCGTCGGCCTGGCGATCCCCCGTGGGGACTCCCTCCCAGCAGTTCATAAATAAATAAATATCTCATTCTCGGAATAGAGCCACCTCCCGTCCCTGGGAGTCCCGGAGCTCCCGCATTGTGCAGGGCCAGCTGCTGCGGCCCCACTCTCAGGGGGGTCACGAAGTGCCAGAATCACTGACCGTCCCCTTGGGTTTCAGCCGGGCTTCCAGGGTGGCCTGTAATGCAAGAGAGCTCGAGGGAATGGAGGGGGGGGGGTTACGCTGAAAGAGGAGAGAATCTTTTAGCTACCCTCTCTGGTACCGGCTACAGAGAATGCACAGAGTACCTGAAGATAGACCAAGACGGGTCGCCGTATTTTTTGGTCCACAGCAGCAGAAAAGAGCCAGAGTCCACGAGCACCCAAAAGACTAGCAGAATTTGTGGCAGGGGAGGAGCTTTTATGGAGACAGTTCTCATTGTTTCAGATACAGCTAGAATGGGAGTCCATCTGCCCTATATATCGGAAAGTGCAGCGGCCTCTGAAACCACTCCACTCTCCAAGGCATCAGGACAGGTGGGCTCCCCTTCTAGCTCAATCTGAAGAAGTGAGCAGGGACTCACGGAAGGCCCTCCCCTGCCACAAATTGGGTTAGCCTACCTGAAGGCAATCCTCAGGGATATGCCTGCCTCTTGTCTCATCACCATTCAGATGGTGTTTCTGTCAGCGTATAGATTGTGAGTCTGTAAGTCTCACTTACAGTGGAGCTGCGGTGGCTCAAGTGGTTAAGACGCTGAACTGCAGGCTGTGGAAGGTCGGTAGTTCAGCAGTTCGAGACCCGAGTGTGCCGCATGATGGAGTGAGCTCCCGTCTCTAGTTCCAGCTCCTGCCGACCTAGCAGTTCGAAAGCAAGAAATTGCAAGTAGACAAATAGGTACCACATCGGTGGGAAGGTCACAGCGTTCCATGCGCCTTGGTGTTGAGTCATGCCGGCCATGACCACGGAAATGTCTTTGGACAGCGCTGGCTCTTAGGCTTTGAAACGGAGATGAGCACTGCAACCCTAGCGTCAGACTCGAGTGGCTTTTGAGCAAGGGAACCTTTACCTTTTAAGTCTCACTTGTTCTGTGTAAAAGTATTTGAGCTCAGTCGGTATGTTTCTCTTGCCCCTTCCTCACAAGCGCTAACACTTTCTGGAGCTCTGCATCAAAGTTAGTAAGAACTTGCAAACACTGAACTAGTGAATCTGAAAGCGATTTTGAGGCTTATAATATCTCTCAGCTTCCTCTACAAGTGGAGCTGATTCTGGGACTGGCAGTCACAGCTGACGTCTGGCGGCCCCGTTGGGTTTTCAAGGCGAGAGACATTCAGAGGTGGCTGGCCCTGGCCTGCCTCCACATCACGTCCCTGGTATCCCTTGAAGGTCTCCCGTCCAAAGACTAGTCAGGGCCGATACGGCTCAGTTTCCGACATGATTGGGTTAGCCTAGGCTATCCATGTCAGGGCCGCAAGCATCTTACCCGGCCCATGTTCTGCTTGAGGGTTATGCTGCATCAAGCAAAGTAGTCTTCGACACCTTTTTGGTGTCTGTTCCAAGCCTTTGCCATTTATTGGTGGTACCAGAGGTTTCTTTGAGCTTGCCAGCAGAGACTCTGGTGGCAGAAATAGCAAAGAACTCCGGACCAGGGCGACTGCTGAGCCCACAGGGCCTGGCACCACCAGTCTGGAGAGTCGGAGTTTGGGAGACATGGCAGACTCTGGTGTGGGCTGGGCAAGTGGGTTTGGGGGCGGAATTTCATACCCATTTGTGGGACTGTTTGGCCAAAGGAAGACAGTGGCTGTGTTGAACCCCAATACTCTGGAACTGCATTGTCTCTCACAGATGTGGCCAAGTATAGAAGAAGAAGAGATTGGAGTTATTCCCCTTGCCCTTCACTACCCAAAGGAGTCTCAGAGCGGCTGACAAACTCCTTTCCCTCCCCCTCCCCACAACAGACAGACACCCTGTGAGGTGAGCGGGGCTGAGAGAGCTTTTGACAGAAATGGCTCTTTTTTTCAAGAACAGCTGTGCCAGAGCTATGGCTTGCCCAAGGTTATCCAGCAGGTGCGAGTGGAGGAGTGGGGAATCAAACTTGGTTCTCCCAGATTAGAGTCCGCGCACATAACCACGACACCAAACTGGCTCTCTTGAATTTACCAGGTTTAACTTACCTAAGTGGGTTAGGGTTTAGAAACTATAAATTGATTGGGGATTGTCTAGTTGTCTAATTTTAGTTAATCTTGAATGAGGTGTCTATTTTCCCAATTGATTATGGATTGACTTGTTACATGCCCTGTAACTGATGAATTAATTTCAATTAACTAATTTTGTACTTAAATTTGAATTTATGAATGAATGAACAAGAGGAGTCTAGCCGTCTAAAGGACTGTTATTAGCTCAGATTACTGGCTAATTGATTGGTGCATATATATATATATATATAGATAGATAGATAGATAGATAGATAGATAGAGATATAGATAGATAGAGATATAGATAGAGATATAGATAGATAGAGATAGAGATATAGATAGAGATAGAGATATATAGATAGAGATAGATATAGAGATAGAGATATAGATATAGATAGATATAGATAGATAGATAGATAGATAGATAGATAGATAGATAGATAGATAGAGATAGATATATATAGAGATAGATAGATAGATAGATAGATAGATAGATGATAGATAGATAGATAGATAGATAGATAGATAGATAGATAGATATTAAAAAAGGCAGCTGTAGGCTGCTAGATTAAATGGGAGCCAGCACCTACTCTTAAAAACTGCTTGGAGGGTTTGACGCCCAGTTGGTCTGAGGCTCACAGCTGGTTTGCAGCTGGCAAAGATCACCAGGCGGGATGATGACCGGGCAAAGGATCCCAGTGCTCCTGGGGGGGGGGAAGTACAGCAGTGGGACTAGACATGGAGCTAAGGGGAGGAGGAGGAGAACTAACTTAGCTTGGCCCCCTTCCAGCCTACCTCCTATCCCAAAGGTAGTAGGCAGTGGAGCTGGGATGATTGATCCCCCTCCGATTTTGGCGTTGTGTAACACCAGGTCTATAAACCTTCAAGACTTTCTGCAGGAGCAGAACGCAGACCTGGCGTGCGTGGCTGAGACCTGGGTGCGAGAGGGAGAGGCAGTATGATCACAGCAGGGATGTGATTCCACAGAGTCCGCCCTCCCCTGCTGAAGATTTCCTGCAGGGGAACTGATGTCTGCAGGCTCACAAACCAGTCCACGTCTGGCCAGGATGGACACGAGGTCATTTTCAGGACTGGTTCACACTAGATTCTTTGAGACGTGCGCCGTAGCATGTTGACCAGAACAGCTGCCGCGATTCCCTGGCTTGGTTAAGGACCTGGTGTCTGCCTTTCTCTGCCTTTCTGTTTATTGTGGCAGAAATGCCGGGGTAACATAACCGTTGTGCAGTTGTGGTTTAGTAGACACAGATGCCACGTGAGGTGGTGCTTTATCTCTGGCGGGAGTGACAAAGTATTCAGTGCCTAGGGCTGCCAAGTCCCGCCGGGGGGCGGATTTCCCCCCGCTTTGGAGGCCCAATTTCTGCCACTGCAGAATCGGACCCTGGGGGAAAACCCACCCCGGCATGCACGTCAACCGGATGTGACGTGCTGACGCCGGGCACGCTGGGGGCGGGGCACAGCCATTTGAGGGGGAAACGCTATGTTTCCCTCTCAAATGGCTGTGGCCCCGCCACCAGCGTGCCCGGCGTTAGCATGTCACATCCGGTGCATGCGGCGCGTGTGTGCTTCGCGCACGCGCTCGGGAACGCTGTCCGGGAGCCCCCCGCCGCCGGGTAAGAAAGACTTGGCAACCCTATCAGTGCCGTTCCACGTTATGTCTGTGAGCGCTGTGAGCACTGAATACTCTTCAGGCAGGCCAGTCCACAAGGTGGAAGCCACAACAGAGAAGGCACGTGTACAGGCATCAGTGGCGGCCAACCATCTGGAGGGGGGAAACGCAACGTGGTACCATGTCATGAGGTTCCTGCACTCCTGGCTTCCTCCAAACGACGCAAAACTGAATTATTCAAGAGGACTGTTCTATGCAGGCAATAGGGTAGCACGGTGCAAAAGGCCTCATGAAGTTCCTTGGATAAATTATTGGAGACTCTGGCCTCTGTACTGCTGTGACTAGTTTGCTGGGGGTTGGATCCTATTGGGTCATTTTGCATGATCTGTAATGTGTCGTGCTCAGTTCTGTTTGTAGACTTCTGGTTGGTTCTGTAACCCAAATCCCACGTCATTGCCTGTTGAGCATCCCGTCTTGTCGATGGTGTCGACTCCCTCTGTGTGACCCGTCTTGAGTCCAAGTAGGAAAGGCGGAATATAAACAACAAATGAATACAGAAGGGACGTGGTGTGTATCTGCAGACCCTCAGGAATAGCTTAGGGGGCAAAGTGTGCACCTGCGGCGAGAGGAACGGGAAGCACTGGAAACTGCTGCCCCCCTCCCTTCTGCAAATGGAACCGCCATTCTACCTGAGGCACTGGAAGGCTGGATACAGGTCTATATCCTTTTGTCATGACATTGTGTGATCGTGCATGGTTGGGGGGGGAGAATACGACACGGGGTGGCCAATTTCTGGCAGGGGCACGCTGATCATAGGCTGCGCTGGCTTCAGATGGAGAGGCTAAAAACCAAGGGACAAAGGGGGTGTCTTAGGTGCTGTGTGGTGGCTTTTGACTTTATGGCAACCCTGTGAATTGATGACCTCCAAAATGTCCTGTCGTTGACAGCCATTCTCAGGGTGTGCAAATTGAGGGCTGACTGAGTCCATCCATCTCCTGTTGGGTCTCCCTGTTTCCCTGCTGCCTTCAACTTCTCCCAGCACTATTGTCTTTTCCAGGAACTCTTGTTTTTCTCATCATGCGACTCTGTGCAGAAAGGGTAGAGA